AAAATATTGCCTCCAATTTACTGAACTGACACCTTAACATGATACATTAACAGCATTCAGAATGGCCTTACAGGAAAAATTAAGAACAATGATTTTAAGATGTCACAAATAACGGAACACAAATTTAATTGACAGAGCAACCACCCTTACAGAAATACAAAAGGCAACTCTGGACGATGGAAAAATTCATGATGTTTGTTAATTTTGTGAAATAAGAACACAGAATGAATGAAGGAAAATATGAACTTCATTACTCGAAAATTGAAAGGGACATAGAATATATCTCTCTGCACATGTTCACACCCTCATTTCCTCATAACTGACTCACTCAATAAAAGTCCGACACGTGGACGAAAAGATGCTTAGGAAAAAAAGAACAAAAAAGAAAAGCACGTGAGACATACGTGCATACTGTAAAATAAAATGTGATAAGTGGGACACGTTTTTTACACGCCCTCCTCAAGTTTGGCACACGTGAGAGTCGCACATGCCTAACTTGGACACTTGCTTTTGAAATGCAGAAATTCCCAACGGCTTTGTGAGCAGATCTGCAAGCTGATCCTGGGAATAGACATGGCAAAGGTAGATGAATCCTTCTTTCACCTTGTTTCTGACTAGATGACAATCTATGTCCAAATGTTTCGTGCGTTCGTGAAAGATGGGATTTTCTGCAATGTGAATCGCTGCTTGGTTGTCGCACCACAATGTGATAGGTGTAGGATTAGGCATTTGAAAATCAACCCCTATGTTATATATCCACTGAATTTCACACACTGTGCTAGCTAATGCTCTGTACTCTGCCTCGGCAGATGATCTTGACACTGTGCTTTGTTTCTTAGTTTTCCATGATATAAGTGATGTTCCAAGGAAAATGCAGTAGCCTGTAACCGACTTTCTTGTGTCTGGACATGTTCCCCAATCTGCATCACTGTACCCAATCAGGTTAAATGAGGCCTCTTTTGAGTAAAATAGACCCAATGATGGTGCCCCTTTTAAGTATCTCACAACATGTATAGCTGCCTCCCAATGTGTTTGTGTAGGCCTGTTCATGAATTGACTTAGCTGTTGCACTGCAAAAGTTATGTCCGGCCTTGTGAAATTTAGGTACAGCAGCTGTCCAATTAGCCTTCTAAATTTCTCAGGTTCTTCCAACTTTTCTCCTTCTTCACTGCTCAATTTGATTCCAGCTGGTAATGGTGTTGAGGTAGGCTTGCAAGCCTTGAGCCCTGTTCTGTGCAAGATGTCTAGGACATACTTTCTCTGGTTAAGATAAATTCCTTGATCATTCCTTGCTATTTCAATCCCAAGGAAGTATTTTGCAAATCCGAGATCTTTGATGGTGAAAGTCTTGTCTAGGAAAGCCTTTAGAGCACTTATACCCTGTGGATGTGTTCCAGTGATGAGAACATCATCTACATATACCAGAAGTGCTAAGAATCCGTTCTCACTATCTTGTGTAAAAAGACAATGATCACATGATGATTGTGTCAGTCCATAGTTGACCAATTTCCTGCAAAACTCAGAATTCCACTCTCTGGATGCTTGCTTTAGCCCATATAGGCTTCTTTTCAAGTGGCATACTTCTTCTGGCTTCCCTTTTGTATAACCATCAGGTAAGGACATGTACACTTCTTCTGACAGCCTTCCATGTAGAAAGGCATTGTTAATGTCCAATTGGTGTAACTCCCATCCCTTCATTGCTGCAAGTGCAAACATCATCCTCACTGTCACTATTTTGGCTACCGGTGAAAAACTTTCAGTGTAATCAACCCCTTGAACTTGATGATACCCTTTTTGCAACCAACCTTGCCTTGAATCTTTCAACACTCCCATCTGGATTTCTTTTAATTTTAAAAACCCATTTTGACCCAATTGTTCTTTTTCCTTGAGGCAGTGTGGTGATCTCCCAGGTATTATTCAATTCCAAGGCCTTTAGTTCACTTTCCATTGCATTGACCCATCTCTGATCTTTTGCAGCTTCCTTATAATCTGTTGGTTCCCTTTCTTCATCCATCTTGGCTAAAAAAGACAGATATTCCTCTTTATGTTGTGGTGATGTTTGATAGGGATAGGTTTTAATTGGATAGGGAATTTGTGTTTTCTTTTGTTTTTCTGTTGCTGAGTTCACCACAAAATCTTTCAGCCATGAGGGTTGATGCCCAACTCTTGCTCTTCTTCTCAGGGTCACAGGTTGGGATTCTTCTTCTTCTCCTTCTGTTGGTTCTTCAACCTGTGTAGGACTTTTCTCTGCAATGTCCATTTGTGTTTCCTGTTCATGTGGATGAGTATCCATTAGATATGGATTTTGATTAGTTGGCAGAGGAACCTCATCCTTTTGTGTATTTTCTTCTTGATATGGGAAAATATCTTCAAAGAATACAGCATCTTTGGAAATTATGACTCTGTGATGCTCCATATCATATAGTCTATATCCCTTTTGCCCTGCCACATATCCAATGAAGATGCATTTGTTTGCTCTCTCCCTGAATTTGTCCTTCATTGGATGAACATTGGCAGCATACACCAAACACCCAAAGACCCTCAGCTTTCTCAAGTCTGGTGCTGTGCCATATAACACCTCATATGGTGTTTTCCATTCAAGTACTGAGCTTGGCAACCTGTTAATGATATGTGTGGCTGTCAATATGGAATATGGCCAGAGTTCTGAAGGTACATTTGACTGAAACATTAGTGCCCTTGCCACTTCAAGCATGTGTTTATGTTTCCTTTCCACAACCCCATTTTGTTGGGGGGTATATGGGCAGGTTCTTTGATGTAAGATTCCATGCTCATGCAGAATTTTTTGACATTCTTGTCCTGTGAATTCTGTTCCATTATCTGTCCTGATTGTCTTCACCTTTGTGTTGAACTGTGTATTTGCCATGTGCAAAAAATTCTTTAGTGTTTCTGTGGCTTGGTTTTTGTGGGAGATTGAATATGTCCAGGTGGCCCTGCTGTAGTCATCTACTATGTTGAGTAGATATGGAGTATTAGAAACATTTTCTCCTCTGTATGGCCCCCATATGTCCACATGCACCAGCTCAAAAATGCCTTTTGTCTCTATTTTGCTCCTTGGAAACACCATTCTCTGTTGTCTAGCCTTGTGACAGATTTCACAAGCTTTTATCTGTTTTCCCATTTGATCTGTGCATTTTAAATTCAGGGATCCCAGGTGCTTCATTGAACTTTCTGGACTGTGACCAAGCCTTTTGTGCCAAAGCTGGAACATCTCCTTGTTTTTATAAACACAGGCTTCTTCTTGTGACATCAGAGATGTGAGCTGCATTTCCTTTCCTTTTGTTAGCTTCTGCTCCAAGGTATACAGCCTTTCTCTAGCTTTTCCAATGAGTAGTATTTTCTTATTCTGTATCCCTTGTATGAGGCACTGATCTGGTGTGAAAGTGCATCTCATGTTGTGGGTCTGGCAAAGTTGTGCCACTGATATAAGATTAAACTTGAATGTGGGAACCAGCAGCACTTCTTTTAATGTTAGTCCTTCCATAAGACTCAACGTCCCTGCATGTTTTACACACTTTAGTGTTCCATCTGGTAGGCAGACTGAAACTGGGTCTTTTAAACAAATGATGTTGATGAGCAGGTTTGGGTTTGAGCACATGTGTCTGGTAGCTCCTGTGTCCAGAATCCAGGTTGTTGTGCAGGTGTTTTCTTGAAAGTGCAAAGCATAGTGTATGTTGTCATTTGTTCTCTTGGTTTCTGTTTCCACAAAGTGTGCATAGCTGAAGTTGGTGTCAGCCATGTTTGAAGATCCCATCATATACTTTCTTATTTCCTGTTGAATGAGACTGCTCATGTCCAATTGACCATTTCCAGCTCCTTCTGCTTCATTTAAACCCTTTTGAATCTGTTTTCCCTCAGATCCAACTAGGTTGGCCACATTATTCTGCTTCTGTCTGTTTTCTTTAGGTTGTTTCCACCAATCCGGATATCCATGAATTTTGAAGCAGTCTTTTATCTCATGTCCATTCATTTGACAGTGGTCACAAAAGAGTTTTGCCTTTTCCTCCTTTGTTCTCCTCACATTTCCCTTTCCTCTATTTCCTGTCCAGTTGCCTTGAGGATTGGAGTTTCTGCTCGAATTCTGAACTTTCCCCATCATTGCACTGTTCTCTCCCATCTCCTGTGCATTAATTTGGACACTCCTTTGTCTTTCCACCCTCAATATCATGGTGTAAGCTCTGTTAACACTTGGCAAAGGTTCTGTTATAAGGATTTGACTCCTTATGCTATCAAAACTCTCATTCAGGCCCATCAAAAACTGCATCAATTTCCCTTTACCATCTCGTTCTGCCATCAATTTTGCTGCTCCGCATTCACAAATTGGCAGTGGATCTAGGCTATTTTGCTCATCCCAGAGTTTCTTTAATTTTGTGAAATACATCATGATCGACATATTCCCTTGGTTCATATTTGTGATTTCCTTTTGCAGCTGAAACAACAGAGGCCCATTACATTCTCCAAATCTCTCAGCTAGTTCGTCCCACAATTCCTTTGCTGTGTTGGCATAGATAAAAGCTTCCACAATATCTTTTGAAATCGAATTTAGGATCCAAGATGTGACCATCCAATCTACTCTTTTCCATTTTTCAAACTCGGCAGAATTTTTTTCAGGTTCAGGTGTGGTTCCATCAATGAACCCAAGTTTTGTTTTAGCTCCTAATGCGATTCTCATGGATCTGCTCCAAGGTAAGTAGTTGTTACCTGTCAATGGAGACGTCACGAGTGTTGCACCAGGATGATCGGAGTTCTGCAGATATGTGGGATCTTGTTCACGAAGATCGGCCCTTGACTCCGAGCCGTCGGAGCTGACGTTCAACGCCGGCCATGGATTTTGCGATGTGCGTACCATGATCGTAACTTATGCTCTAGATACCATGTTAATTTTGTGAAATAAGAACACAGAATGAATGAAGGAAAATATGAACTTCATTACTCGAAAATTGAAAGGGACATAGAATATATCTCTCTGCACATGTTCACACCCTCATTTCCTCATAACTGACTCACTCAATAAAAGTCCGACACGTGGACGAAAAGATGCTTAGGAAAAAAAGAACAAAAAAGAAAAGCACGTGAGACATACGTGCATACTGTAAAATAAAATGTGATAAGTGGGACACGTTTTTTACTGTTCAAGTTGAGTCTGAGTCCTGTTCTAAAAGTTTTACAACACAAATAAATTATAAATTCTTAAAATATGTTATCTACAAAAACCTTTTCAGAAGCCCGGATGCCAACTAGAACAAGATCTTAATAACAATAACATTTCTATGATTTTGTAGAGAGAATAGTTGCAGCTGTAATAAGTGCTTTCTTCCCGAAGCTAAAAATCTCTGTGTGCCTGCACCATGAATAGATATGGGAATCCCAAAATATAACTGTAAGATCGACATGATCGAGATGAAAACTCAATAAACCGAATAACTTCTATTCATCACAAGTTACTACACCTGTGAAACTGATTCTTTGTACTTTGCAGTCAACAATTTGTGGGTCAAGCAAGGTTTGCTAGATTCCTAATGTTCCCTTAAATTTTATAATGCATAACATAATGATGTTCTTAATACATAAGCTATGGTATTATCTTCATTACTCGCACATAAAATGATAGGAAGTTCACATGAATAGAGCACTTTGCATAGACAAGTGAATCTTACGGATCTTCTTGTTTGAGACAGGTAAAAGCAGATACTAAGTTTTTGCAAACTTCCACAACCGACTTGCTTTTGTCATGCTCCGCCGTATTAGACAAGCCTTCAGAGGCATGATATGATAATTCCATATATGCCTACAAAAATATTCATGTCAGAAGGGGTATGTGGTGTGTCATTTCTTTTTCCTTTATGAAACTAAAGAATTCTCTATTTTGTATAAGAAAATCAAATGAGATGTGCAAACTAACTCATGGATCACATAGAAGTATTAGCCAATATATTAATTTAGATTTTGCTTATGAGATATCTAGAATAAGAGAATTGCATTCACCTGGAAAGCATAGGCCAGAAGCAACTGAACGACCTCCGAGCTCATCTTTTTAATTATACTTCTAGTTCTGTTGCTGTTAGACAAACACTTCAAAATTCCATCAAAATTGTCGATATTGATCTTATCACTTGATCTCCTCGTTTGAACAGAAGACTGCAACATACAACTCTCAAAATCATCAAGCTTTATTAAGCGATATTAATGTTTAGCTATTAAATGTCATACAGTTCTTGAATCAACTTCTGAATACAAGGTGAACTCAGAACTGAATTGAATACACATAGCAGACATCATTCATCATATAGACACATGCAGACAATCATAACATTTACCATTTCCAGAAGGAAAGAAACAAAAACATATTCAATTAACAAAGAAACTAAATGCTACTTGGTAACACTGAAATCTGATCCAATCTTCATGAAAAAATTCTTCAAAAGGACTTTTGGCTACACTGAGAAAACAAAATGACTTTCTCATGGTATCCTTACCCCGCATTAGCAGCTCGTTGCCTAGTCACGAAAAGGACAGTCAATTCTATTTGGACAAACAATTTCAACCTATGTCTGAAAACCATTCAGTAGTATACATTTAGAAATTACTACAGAACACACTAAAAGCGTAAGATATGTTCCAAAAAAAAAAAAAAACACGTAAGATAAACAGTAGACAGATGATGGGAGAAATTTCCTGAGAGCTAACACTAGAAATAACATTGTGAGGGACTGCTTCAACATAGATCCTTAAACAAAGTGAAAGGAGCAACATGCCTTTGGAATATACTTCTGGAAATATTGTACAATAATATCAAGCTTCCATTTCAGATCAAAGACCTGCAACAGAAAATAATTGGAAGTAAAATCTTATAAATTTAGACACCCGGTTTCATATTTATTTGAAATTATTCGATATAATGAACACAACCAGAGAAACGAAGAATGTAATTCTGGAAAGAATTGGATTAAAAGTAAGAAGAAAACAAGAAAGGGTTAAAATAAAGATCTAAATGATGGGCCAATGCCACACTCGTCTCCTGCAATCGCGTGCCACAGAGTCTGTTACGAAAATTTCTGTTTTAGACTTTAGTCAATGTTAGTTATGAGAATCTCCTTGGGTTACATACATATAACATATTTATAGTTTACATGCACCAACAAATATAATTTTCTTTGAAATATTTGAACTTCCTGCGTACGTGTATCCTAGTGTATGCCATGCACGTGTGTGAGAGAGTGCACCTGAAGAAATGAACAAAGGATGTCATTGTCGTAAATGAGTTCATCCAAAATGATTTCCACCATAGGGGTCCTACAATACAACAAGTTCATGTTATACTTTGAAAATACGAGCAAATAAATGACTTTTTGCGAGAAACAAACAAAATAAGTACCTTATGCCATCAGCCCTACTAGTAATCCCTTGCTGATCAGCAATCTTTCGTGACGAATCTAACTCCATGATCTATAGGATACATGAGCCATATCAAGGACAGATCATATCTAACTTCAACATCATAATGAAGAAAAAAATATGGCTAAAGTATTTACCATCACGAACAGTTTCTTCAGGACAGTACAAGTAGATTTTTTTACATCAGGTAAAGCTAATGCCACAGCACGGTTAGTTTCACGCAGTAGCTCCCCCGAAGAACTTTCATGGCTGCTAGTTTTTTCAGAAAACTCGGGTGATTGAGACATGTTGCACATGATCAACAAACAGTCCTTTGTCAACCCTTTGTACGTAACTTTTCTTGATCCCTAAAACAAATCCTAAGCAAAAGTCAAACAGATGTAATAAACTATCAAAATAATTTCCAATTCAATGACCTCATGAGTCATGACATTGAATTTCTTAAACTAAAACCAGAAGAAATTCAGGAATGCACACCAGAAGCATGCTAAGCAGTGATTCTCTGAGAACATTCCAGTTCATACTTTCTGCAACAAAATGAGCATCAGCAATGGCTTGTAAAAGGAACCCATAAAAAAATAACAGTAACAACATTACCATGATAATTGTGAATGCGAGGTAAGAAATCTCGTTCAAGAACAGTGATAAGATATTGAAGCAGCAACATGTTCTTCAGGAACTGAAAAAAGAGCATCTCCAGACTAAAATGTTAAGAGGTGGTGCTAATATACCGACCATTTCCTATTTTCAATACTAAGGACAAGAATAAGATAAATTAGGATGAAACACATGGAGGGCTTTGCATTAATCCCCTGATAGTGTACTCATAAAAATCTTAAATAGTAACTCACAGATGTTCCTTTTGCTTCAGATTTCACTTCCTTAGCCATTTCAGCAATTTCTTGTATAATTGCATGGAAACCCTGAAATTGATCTAAAGTTTCAGCAACTACATAATGTCACAGGTGCAATGTCGTCTTCACAGCAGATAACAACGAAGCTAATCATGAAATAAGTGTTTTCCCTAAATTAGTCATATGCTGGAAAAAGAAAGAAGCAGCAACTAAAATTCCAGAGGCAACGAAAAACAAAATGACCAATTAACTGACCGCGGCATCAACTAAATGATTTTTTCCTGTTCCCTTCTCCCTGTAACTTTCCAGCCCGAGGTTAAAAGGTAGCCAAGCCTGGCATGAGCAGCACAAGATAATTTAAAAGTATAAAGTATAGTTCCAACGTAAACTTTATATAGATGTGTGTGCTTAAATAGGAGAAGACATGTTCACCTCTTCAACCATAATTACTTGGGAGGTGATTTTTGAAGGTGAAGATGAATTTTGATCCTTGGATAGATATACTCGAGGGAACCGCTGCAGACCAAAGAAAGCATCAATAAAATCAAATGCACACACTAAAATAGGTTAGCCCCTAGAAGTGAAATGTGAAAATCAATGCACACTGAATATGAATAGTGGATTGAGCAGGTACCTTATCCAATTCAACAAGAAGCTGGTAACTTTCAATTATTAAATCAAGAGAATCCACGTCCTTCAATATACGGAAGATGGCCTCACACATTTTCCTGTTAAAAAGAAGTCCTTTAACAAACAAATAGAAAACTACAAAGGCCAATAGAACAAATATATGCATGCAATAATGTTAAAGTCCTATGAAATGACTCGAAATCATCAGCAATGTTGTTCTGTTCAGTTTGCTGCAAGCTCACTCATTAGATAACATTACATACCATCATATACCAGGAAACTACTTCAATCACATAGCTGGAAAATTTTAATAGCTGTTCAGTTTCCAGCAGACGGAGGAAGGCTCAAAAATCGAACTTCAATTAGATTATACAACTTCGAAATGTATACTACTAGTTTTCAATTCTCTTCCAGTTAAACAGCCGCTACATAATTATCAAAAGTGCATTAACTGTTTCATTACAAAGACTTCCCGACCTTAAAACATACTACACACATATTTCTATCTAGTGCCCAGACTCTTAATTTAGCAATTACTGGCAAATAAATCAGTGGGAATTGCTTACGGGGTAGGTGCGCTTCCGTTATCAGGAAGAAGAGAAGCAGTACGAACAGCTTCCAGAAAAGCAAGTCCTGCAAAAATGGGGAAAAAAACCTAACTTGAAAGTTCAAAAAATGTGAAATAGATGAATATAAGCAGGGATACGTACGATCGTCGTCCAGGTGGTGGGCGATTTTCGAGCTGCTGAAGCCCGAGGTGTCGAGGAGGGCCATTGTGTTCTCCTCCACTCCACGGCCGCCGCCGTTTCCCGCAATCCTCCGCCGCTTGTCCATATCTCGATATTATCTCTCAGCCCTCTGATCGAGCGCGAGTATATGATGCCTTTGCTGTTCTCCCCCAAATCGAAACCCTAATGAGGAGGAGTGCAGTGTTCAAAAAAATCTGTGCCTAATAGATTTCTTTTTCACAAAAACACACAAATCGCTGTTCCCGCCAATTGTGAGCAGACCCTTCTTATATTTGTCACGTCCTGCAGAAAAAAACATGCATAAAAAGTTCATTCCGTTGCCGGGACTTGAACCCGGGTCTCTCGGGTGAGAGCCGAGTATCCTAACCAACTAGACTACAACGGATTACTTGTTTATTACTTATAATTGGAAAAACAAAAGAATTCTATTTTTAGACAATGCTACATGTACAACTGTAGTTTACAACTTAGGTAAAAGTATCATTACCTCAAATTTCAACCATACTTTTATTTGCATCTCAACCACCCACAACATGTCACATCATGTTGTCATTGAATGTTGTACAAAAAAGTTGTATGAATAGCTTTTTCTTTTATTTTTTTTATGTTTTAATGAACTGAATTGCTATTCACTATCCCCCTATTACTATTCACCGCTCTCCCAATTACGTTTTTTCCCTTCACTACTCTCTCTCTCTCTACTATTTTCCTCTCGATTTTAGACGGCTCTTTTGACCGTCAAAAAAACTAGTACGTACCCCGTGCGATGCACGGAACAGATATATTAAATGAGTTATTTTCACACCCTTGTCTGTTTAAATCTAAAAAATAATAGGATTATTATTTATTTTCTACCTTTTTTAATCAACGTTAAGTCGAAAAAACAAAAAGGTTATTATAAGTTTTTTTCTACATCTTTGAACTTTTTTTTAGCCAGAACATTAATATGAGCATGTTAGGGCTAGATTGTAAAATAATTAATATATTATCTCACTAAAACATTTATACTAATTAATTTTAGCATATAAATTTATCCCTTGATATAATAGAAAGTAACAGTTTTACTTATTGTTGTTCACTATATAATATTTAATTATTATTTTATTATATAATAAAAAGGAACATTGTTAAATAGCGTAGTACAATTATAAAATTATATGAATTATTTTTTTTACAATATGGATTTAATATCTTTTTATGATTTGATAATATAACTATAATATATTCTTAATGATATAATAATATGAGATACGGATTTACATAATACTATAGATTTATTCCTTAATGTTAAGATATTGAATTAGGTAATATATGATCCACTAATTTGTAATTTGTCTCTTTTTATATTGAAAATAGTCATGTGATTGAGAAGAGATAACAATTATCTATAAATTCATTCATTTAAGGAATAATTTTTAAATTGGTCCAAGTGTTGAATGCAACCCTATTTTCTTATAACCAAAATGAGAAGAGATTTGAATTTCGAATTTTCACTACAAAACCACACGTAAATTTGGATGCAGATTTTATTAAAAATAAAATGAGAAGAGATTTTGAGTTTCATATTCACTTCAATATTTGTCGAAATTTTCAAAAATGAATTCAACAAAACTCATAATTTTAGGGGCATTTAATGCTACCCTATTTTATGATTTAAAATATCTAAAACTTTATAAATATGGTGTGCAATTAATTATGAGTTGACTTTTCTTTCTACTAATTCTAGTAAATGTGATGGCTTTTTATATAAGTATAGATTTCGAAAAAATGCCAAAAAATACCATGACATCGACAAGACATTGAAGATTGACCATGTATTTTTTTATTTATTTTTTACTTCGTAAAGAATTTTTTAATTTTTTTTTAACTTGGCGCGCGTCTGGCCTCGCCAGTAGGACGACACCGTGCGTGTCCGGCCTCGCCGATAGGACGCCACCGTGTGCATCGGCCTTGCCGTTAGGACGTCACCATTTATTACAATTTCAACGGAAAACGACAACAGAAATTATTGTAAATTTATATCCCATTTATTACAATTTCAACGGAAAACGACAACGTTTCTCCCTGTGAGACTCGGAACTAACTATTGCAACTCTTCAGGATTCTCTCAACAACTAAAATAAAACATAATGTTGTTTACTTTTTAATACTCAAATCCGAGTCTTACCAAAGTTTCCCTTCTAAAAAATATACAAAATTCAACAATCAAATAAGACCAAATTAAAAAGTTCTGATTGTATATAATTTGTTTGGGAGCAAACCAAATACTCGGGTTTTGATTTCAGCAAGGACCAATATGGACTCAACTGCCATGTTCACCGTTGGATCTGTGGACGGACTTGCAAGCGTCGCCGCTTCTCCTCAGTCGTGGATCACCACCTGAGGCCGGGCAACAACAGTGCAGTAGGACATGGACAACCAGTATCAACGAGTTACAACTTCTTTGACCAGTTGAATGCCGACCGAACAGATCGGGCCTATCAACAGAGTTTGATGGCCGCTTTCGGGTCATCAGTTGTGCCTAGGGGTGAGTATGGGTTCAGAGACCACTAAAATTGATCTTCAAACACGTACCAAAAAATTTGGACGGGTCAAAGATTTTTATTTTTCGGTTCAATATTCGAGACTATCAGTTGGATCTTCGGATATTTCTTATTTTTTTAAATTTTTTTTTTAATTACCTAGTTATATTTTAATTTTTGTATGCTTTAAAAAAGACAACAACATTCATCAATTGAATATTTTATTTGAAATCAACTTTAGAACTAACTTTAAATTTTAGTTATTTAATTATTATATGCTTGAAAAAAAACTAACATTCATCAATACTTCCTCATATTAAAGATTTTTATTTAAAATCAACTTTAGAAGTAACTTTAAATTTTAGTTAACCCTAAATTTGTGCAACTAAAATTAAAAATTTAACATGTGTCGGTGCATAAAGTTATAGATGGCTCCATAAGAGAGCCATCCGATGGCTCCATAGAATTTCTTTGCTACCAAATATTTATTTTTTCTGAGTCTGGTTAATCCAAAATATACAAGTTATAATAATAATTATAATAATAATAATAATAATAATAATAATAATAATAATAATAATAATAATAATAATAAGG